ATCAATCGACCATCAACAGCGCTCCTTAATGAATGTGTATCTAAATGTAAAATATGTTGGCATCGTCAGTTTCTCTCAGGTTAAGGTAACTGTTATATAAATGACTGGAGTGCCGTCGCATGTCCTAGGCGATAAGGGTTCTTCCCTGCACAAGCAGATGAACGATTCATTCCCGAGCAACGGATTTTTCAGCTAAATAATTTAGCGTTACTGAGTATCTAAGAAAATTAGCTCTTATTTGTTTATTTTGATTTTTTCCTTTAAGATTACTCCTGACTTCAAAATTATCTTGGAACATTTTGTTGCGCCCACTTCCTCATTGCCTTCTATGTCGTTACTTTCGTTATGTTCTGAATATTCGGAAAGCAGTGGCTTATTCTTACCCGACATTCAATACGCAGCAAGGCGGATTCCTTTAGAAGAGGCAGCCATCTCTATGTCACAACTTAATAAAAATGATCAAAGCGATTTCGGGAATTAAAACCTGGACTCAGCTAAAAACTGAAATTAGAGGAACTTTAAAGGTGATATTACACACTGTTGGCAGTCTTTCGAATACCAAAAACTCCAGTATCTTTGTCGATTTGAAAATAGGTGCGTGTTGAAAGTGTAGCTTTTTTGGCGACTGTAGCATCGAAACATCTGAAGAGAACCTATCCTATACGATGACTTTAAAATGACTGTACATATAAGAGCTAAGGGAGTGAGAACCGTTATAACCATAGTAATATTTAGAGGTGTAAAGTTCTACTGTTATCTTGAGAAACTAAGCTTAAGAGAGTTGTTAAAAAAAAACTGGTTTCTCACCAGGAAATAACACCAGACGACCTTTCAGGCCGGTTTATATTTCTAGAGGACTTATCTGCTACAACGCTTATTCTTATTGCAAAGCTTGAAAACTTAGCTGTCATACCATGATCTTATGAGTCCTTCAATCGACTGGCCAAATCATAACCTGCACGGAGGACAAAATATACCTTCACCCGGCCTCAGAGGCTCACATATATATGCTATACAGCTATATAAATTACAAAAAAAGATGCCATTTTAACTCCATTTTGCACATTGGCTATATTTGCGCTTGCGCATCTCTTCAGTGTAGCGTGCATGGATAGAAAGATCTTCTCCTGTCAGCCTAATATGAGATGGTGGGTGTTGGTCAGGGCTTGTGTCGAGAAACGCTGTCACCCTTACTTTTTTTTTTTCAAACGAATGGTGTTCCTGATACGCGTTTGGCGTGCTATTATTGTAGCTTTTTTTTTTTTTAAGATCTAGCAGGCTGAGAAATCGATGTATCCAACCCCACTCGGGCAAAGTCATCAAGAAGGAAATGGACTGTACGATCAACTTAGACCTTGTGAACTTATAAACGCTTCTGCTTCGATTGTTAGCCATCAATATTATTCCGCTGGTTTTTTTTTCTTTTTTATAAATAGATAGGAGTGCGAGTCTGTCAAGTTAGGGGAATATGTAGAATTGAACGCAACTGAAATGATATATTTTTATATAGCAATAATCTGCGTGATGATCATAGATGAACTCGTTACGATAAGTTAAGATAAGCTCGAAGGGTGCAACGTCGAAAGGCAGCTAAAATAATTTCTGAAGCAAACGATCATAATTTGTGTGGATTCGAGCGGGAGCACAACATCGGTATGGATCCATGTTAAAAACAAGCAGAGTCACTCACGCCGTCATGTAGCTGGCATGTGTAGTGCTTTTTAAGTTCCATTTATTACGTGGCCCCGAACTTCAAAGAAGAGGGATTGGGTTGGGTAAGCAAACGCGCATTTTTCAACCGTAAACAGTATTCTGTTGGCATTAAAATCGCATAGTTAAAAAAGAGTTGTCATAGAGGACCGCCCAAATCAACCCTACTTCCAGCGCAACGACTGTTTCAAAATAGTTGAATTCAGATGTCCGTACAAGTTACTACGATATCGGTTACTCCTCAAAGTAACTGCTCATCCCATGTTTCTTCAATGCCAATGGAAAACTTCCCCATTCACGGTTAAATTGCTTGGCTTAAGATAGTGAAGTATCGTTTAGTATAAGTCTAGTACAGAGTTTAGTTAATTTAATTAAATTCAAATTGAAACATCGCTTGAACCTATATCCAGCTATATATATATAATCTATTGTAATAGGTTTACTTTTATTTAAAAGCGTTTCTCTAAAGTTTAAAGAAAACGATTTCAGCTCCAATATTAGGGCCTACGGAAAAATGTATCAGGTTATTGACCGCATTCAAATGTTATTCTAATAGACTGTAATACTGATTCTAAGTGTGCACATCGGTCACGTGTTGTATAAGGCCTTTAGATCTCATTATATGGTTTAACCTCTGGGTCCTAGTCCCAATGACAACCCAATCGACAGGGGTCTTAATATTCAGTCGCAGCCGGGGTTGTCGGCTAAGGGCAGCAGAACGAGGCAAATTTAATTGTGGCCCCATCGGCAGCAGCCCCATAAGGAAACTTGCAGCCCTGCTACGGCTCGTACCCGAGCTGGAGTGTTACCAAAAAAGAAAGCAGCGGAACAGTTTTCCCTCCCATTGTCCGCCCACTGATTAAATTCCATAATCTGCTATTGCCAGCTGTTTACTGAGGAGTTGAGTGTGAAGCAACTAGGCCATATCAATTACGTAACTCCACAGATACCATTCTCGTCGCTGGAGAGTGAAGTAGATAGACATGCAAGCAATAGAGTTCTGGCACCACTCACCAAGTGGAAAGATATAGGAGAAACTCATGCGCTTCAAAGGCAAAAAATCATGGTCATGACGGAATCAAATGCAGCTATCAAGTGAAGCAAAACAATTGGTATACCAAGTACACTTTTCGTTGTTGCTGAAAAAACATGAGGCTTGAATGGAATATCTCAGTGTTCAAAGCATAGCAAATCAAAAAGTCTCTGACCGAAGTGTATAATGCACGTTCTCCTGCTGGAATGCCATTTTCACAGTAGAATCGATAGTAAGATCGAGCTCTTGAACAGTCCTTCAACATATAAGGGTCGAAGCTCATTATGGACTACTGGTTGCACATCATCGGAAATAACAGACCTCTTGAATTGAAGTACACAGTATTTTCACTAAGAGTACTTGTTTTCTATTCACTCTCGGAGCTTTCAGCAGCCATTTGCTTTAAGAGCTTAATGTATGCAGCTAGAGAAATATGTGTGATGGCTTGCTGAGGTAAGTGTCACATAGTAGTCGTCGCCAAATACCACATCAGCGATTCTGCAGGATAAGCGCACATGTCCGTTTTATATAGCCAGTCGTTGTCAAGGTTTCATGGACGTTTTAAATCATTCAAAGGAAAGTTTGCATCCATTTACTAACCGTTGTCCAGCTAAATCAGACTGGCCTGTCGATTGAACCGGTCACTATTTATCTGTACCTATTTATATTGGCAGTAAGCTCAACATGCTTGAGTCTTTTTGAGTCAGGGCTGAGACCGAATCTATTTGTCGAACATCACTGTCAAATATCATCCAAACGGGAAGGCTTAAATAGATATAAACAATAATAAAATTATAACAGTCATTATTATTCAGTCCGAAGAACTGCGTAATGAAATACATCAATGTAATTCCGGTTTGTGCCGAATTAAAGGCTACGCTGGTCTATTTATACCGGAGGGCTATTCAAAAGGTTGCAAAAATTTGAGCTGCTTGGCTTTCGGTATCTGCTTGACAAAACTTTGCAGGAATTCTTACAAAGTTAAATAATCTATCATATTTATAGAAAATAAGTATAAACGTATGGAAGTAATAACAACATATTATTAACAATAAGTTAGGTGGTCGTAATTTCTTATATTTTATTGTATAAAATATTCATTATATATTTGATAAACAAATACAGAGTTCTTCACCGGTACGAAGCAGATCGGTTTAAACACAAAACCGTTGGAGTTAAGTTTCTGGCTTCTTCTTTTTTTCGAAGAAATTCAGGTTGTGGCCTGCCTCTAATCAGTTAGGCCAGGTTTTTTGAGTGTGAGTCGATAGCATGTACAACGTATTGGGCCTTCGTATGCAGAAAGGCGCCCTTTACTATTCTTGTAATGCACAAAAAGGTTATCTGCGATTATAAAGTCGCTTTCATAATTTCTTTTTTACTTCGAGCCGCTACCAGCAAATCAGTACATATTTCCTTACATACGTTTGCGACACATTGGCAGGTTAGCCAGCAAAGGGCAAAGCTATTGATGGCACATCTTGACTGCCTCCAAGTTGAGTCTCCTCCCCCACTGAAGAGGTTTCAATGAGTCTTTAGCACTGGACTCTAGGCGCTCACTTAGAGTAAGTGCATTATCCTTAATTAAATCGTTATAAGACTTGGAATCCGGAGGGAGACCGATCGGTGGAGTCACCGTGGACTCGAGCTTCGAATGAGCCTCAACGGCGCCGGATGAGCAAACTCCAGGGCCGAAGTACTGCCTTTTTCTGTCCTTGGACTAGTACCAGAAAATGTTCACCGGGAGAAACTGCTTCCCGCACTTAGCATAGCAAAGAGGATAATAGCGGGACACGATTCGTTCCTATAACTCACTAGAGGACGCAGTGAAATATAGCGGAAGAGTTAAACTAAAACAAATGTTTGGCAAATTCTAGTATATATTCGGAGCGAATTTTTGTTACGATGTCTTTGCTTGGGCATAGTTAAATCGCTTGTTTGTTAGATATTTACGTCGCCCGACTTTGCCGAAATATATATAATTCGGTCCTAAATTGGACTTGTAATACCACACTGCTACTTGTGCACTAAATGGTAAACAAAAGCAAATACAATACAGATTTTGCTTTTATCGCGTTGTGATACTTAAATCAAGAGATGTTTTCGTGCGGACCCGACATGTCATGCTTCGCAGGCCTAAGTGAGCTTGCACCTTCGTATACTGAATGTAGCGAGTCATTATCATGGATCTATTTGAGGACATGTCACAGTAAACACAACACCAATTTTCTTGATTAGGAAAGACATTTTATTTCCAGGTTTTACATGGTAATTTCGCGAATACACACAGACGAATGTTACATAGAGTTCGGCTGACACCGTTACATCTAATTGCTTCGATGTTCAAGTTGTTGAGCTACCACTCAGAGTAATTGGTCTCACGTTCATTGTTTTGCCGTTAGCCCCCTAGTTGGTCAGGAAGCCATGCTCCCTGATGCTTCCTATTTCTTCGACCGGATCATTTAAGGTCCGTAGAGTTTATGAGCCCTGAGATGCCGTATTACGTCATAATCCTAATGTTAACTTTAACAATGCAACAACTTTGGCTTCTTTTTTTTCCAACGAATGTTTTGAACGCTAAATAGAAATTTTACAGTACGTTCTAGGTTGATCCTGCTATGTCATCATGAGAACTTATCTATTCTTACAAATTTCCCTAAGGTTTCAGTCACCCCTGTTTCCTTTCCGGATTGCAGACGTGGGTTGGGCCAATCCTTAGAAACAGGTCTGAGTCACGTTGCATTTTCCTTTCGATAGATGTCAACGAGAGTTAGTTTCGCGTAGCGGCAGGGCACAGTCTATGTTTTGTTTGAATTTTGAAAAGCTATGTCGAAAGCTTAGTTGGCCTTATACAAGCCGTCGACATTAAACTTACATCTTTGCACAGCTTCTGAAGCTTAACTAATTCACCCTTTCATTAGTCCTGTATGTCACTGAAGGATGAGAGTATTGTGGAATATAATCGGTCGGCGTATGGAAACGTCATGTTGCCGTGAAGATCGAAGAATTTTATCCATGCATGTTTTGCCTACAATATATGACAAGGTGCATCCAATTAAAAACACATCGTTTTGCGCCACTGAAAAAACCTATTAGTATTAGGCTAAGCGACGGCTGTGCTGACACTGAGACATCAGCAAAATATTAATGATGAGGTCGTAATCAACGACAATCAAAAACTTATTAATTGTTTACATACCTTCTAATGGCAATTACACAAACTTCTAAATTAGTTACGCATGAGTTGAGCACATGACCCAGCTAAATTTCAAACATGGGCTTCTCACGTAAATGCTGGTCCGTCACGTTTTTTTTATAGCTAGCTATTGCCGTACTCACTTATATTAGTTCACTGACACAGACGCACACGTGACCCGCCTCAATAAGATGGCTGAGCACAGAATTCAGCTATGCCTTTCGAACTCGAAGCGCAAAAAAAAGTAATATCGTTTGCACAAAATTAAGGCTGCGGGTAACTAACTCTATGTTTAGTGTAGAACGTCAGCGTTTTACATATGATCTTTGATACAATTATGCAACACAGTTAATCGATAATCATTGCTGCTATTCGTTATCCATGGTAGCCCCGTAGACAAATCTATAGTACCTATTCCTACGATGACTCGGACCACTCAGCGTCAAAAAGTACCTAAGCACTAACACACTCTCACTTATTCAAGGCGTGAACAACTAGAAAATCGATGGTGGTCACTAAAACATAATCTTACCTCACCTCCATTTGCTATAAGGACATAATGTAAACATGAATAAGGCATATAAACGCCCCACAAGATAACTGCGTTTTCTACATATGGCGCCCACATCTTGGCCCAACGGTTTATTAATAGCCCGATTCATTTTATCAAGCCATCGCCTCCAGAGTGCAAAAACAGTGAATGCTAAGTTGATTTGAGTTAACTTTATATTTTGTTGTTGTTGTAGTTTGAGTTGGGCCTGCATCCGTTACTGCCTATAGAGGTTAGTGCATGCCTCATCTTTCGTTCTCAATGCTTGCAAAGCTTTCCGAGCTTTTCACTAGCAAAAATATTCAAGCACGTTGGGCGTATATGTAGATAGCGAGACTGGTGCCTGTCTTTTCAGCGTGTTTCTTTTCTGTCTACGATGTTTCCACCTCTCTAAGCTGTCGGTAGTCAAAGCAATCCATGCAGATACGGTAAATGACACGTCCTTCCCTAACAGCATCATGCTAACGTTTTCGTTGGATAGATCACACTTGTGCTGAAGACGGAACTCCAAGCAAGTCTAGATAGCTCATGAACTACCCCTCCACGCATTTAGATGGAAGAACGCCAAAACCTCACCGTGTTGTCCAGACGATACGTCGCTAGGCGCACCTGGGCTTAACGATGTCGCCTCAGGATCATGCCCAAAAACATTCTAGAGCCTGTGTTCGCAGCTTAGAACAACAACACTCAGCGCTAAGACCAAGCAAACATTGGGCGCAGTGTCAACATTTCACTTCGTTTGTGGGGAACGAGATATGCAAAGCTTATGAAAATCTTCGATGGAACTGTCGTTTAGAAAGCGTGTTCGAAATATAAGCTTGTTTATTGTTGACATATTATCGACACACAGAGAATTGATACTGACACACAACATGCAGATAGGTACAGCGACACATATGACTGCCTTTTCGTGTAATATAAAAAATCGTCAGTGCAGAATTGAAAAACACGAGGAATAATTTACGGTTTTTTTGATATCCAAACTTCTCTAATGATCAGTCAAATTAGATCATATTCTTCGTCTCGCACATAGAGTCCTGCGAAAAAGCTAAACTCCCTGACCGGCCAGCAGAAGGCCGAACAGTTTACACGTGCTGCATATGGAAAATGCGATCCACCGGTCGCACTCTTCCTAGCAAAATAACGACAGAAAAAGTAATATTAAAATATAATATTGCAGAAAAAACGCCGCCAAAGCGCCAGTTAAATATTACAAAGATCCTAATTATTATACTCAAGCAGTTCTTTTCTGTTAGCTAGTAGACTAGCGACTATATAAATAAAGTAAGCTAGTAAAAAATATATATTTTATTGTCATTTCAGCCTTGGTGACACGGTTATCGAATAAACCTGCGTAAACTTTTGATGAACGATGAAATGATATTGTTCAACTCTACTGTTAAACCCATTTATATACGCTTCATTTCTACTGAACCCAGATTTGGTTTCCTACTCTTTGTTGGTTGTTCTAGCTTCTTATACATAAACATAGTATTTAATTGGTGCCTCCTTGTTCCATTATGCCTCTGGAAACACTATTATGGTCGCCAGGTCACACTTTTTTGCAATCGGCCCTAGCCTTCACTATTCCAAATGAGATGGTCCATGAAAAAGTTTCACTATGCTATTAATTTATTAGCGAAAATATGGGGAAGTTAATATGACAAAGATAAACAGAATAAACTATAATAATCACTTTTAGCAATTGATAACTTTTGATATAAGTTCATTTGCATGCGTAATCGGTAATGAGCCTCATAGTCCAAGTTTGTCCACAGCAATAATATATCGTGATTTGAAAGGCCGTTATGGCCTAGTACTGGCGGAAGGGTCTCCGTTTCGTTGGGATGTTTGAACGTGAAAGAGATTAGGATAGTTTGCGAGAGGTATATCTTTGCGATGTTTATTACTGAACATGGAATTATGAAAGGACACGCAGATGGCAATTCATTAATATGCGTGACATTTAACTTATTTATATTTACCAACACCTCACTATTTCCAACCTGAACATATCAACAAAATTTATAATTTAAAAAACATAATCAGAAAGAACGTACCTAGCTCAATCAGGCCCGTCGATCGAATGGGGGATACAACGAAATCAAGCAGACAATAGGGCGAATTTTTATTTCTGCTTCGTCGAAAACGTTGGCGGCCTCTTTCTTGCCTGCACTAAGTCCCGCAATGTACGCTTCATTGGAGGAAGACGTGCGTAAAATGACAACCCGTGCTGGTTTTGCATAAACTAGGTTTCCTTACCACCAACAGGAAGTCTTATTACATTTTTTCGTAATCAGTGCCTCACTCAACTTGAACTCGCAGGAAGCTCTTTACTATGGCCGTAGGGGTACAGTATTAAGGATAACTTAGATATTGGGAAAAGATTTTTTTGTTTGTAAAAAAAAAATGTAGAAAGTACATATAAGAAAATCGAGAGGTAATTCTTCAGCTAGTTTTAGTTATGAAATGAGAATTCAAAGTATATTGAGGATCGTCTACATAGGTTTTCGGGTCTAAAGTAACCTAATGCAAAGCACTGTAGGTAAACGGTGCAGGGTTTTGAGATACACCTTTATCAAATGTGTTTCAAATTACTGACAGAAAAGTTTAAAATATTCAGTGCCTGAGTGTGTTGTATACTACCACATTCCACAACAGTTGTCGTACCTTATCTCACATAGTAAACCGTACAAGATCATTTTATGTCATCATGTCTACACCACACAAACAGCTCCAAGGGTTTATTGTCTCTTTATGCAGTCTTGTCTGGAAAGAATAGACGTGTTATAATGTTATATACATAATGTTATAATGCCAACACCTGCCCATAAAATCGAACGTTGCTGAATTTCGTTGTTACGTGGCTTTAGTCATCTGAGCCAAGGATCAATAATACCGATGCCCCGGTTCTGGAGGAATTGCTCCATATTGTTCTTAACACGATCTTCAGACACTTAACACTTTCTAGCCCGTCACGAATAGACAGCAAATTGAAAGCAACTTGTAAATTATGCCCCATTTGGTAAATATTTATACCGAGCCTTTCACTATTTAAGGCTTCGGTTCGATTAAAAAAAAAAGTCACTTTAGAAGAAAAAGGTATCATTCGGTACTGAAAATCTTTTTTTGTCGGGAGGGGCGCTGGTGGGAATCGTAAATGATTAGTGAAAACACGGGGCGAGAAGGCCTTCAACTAAACAACGATTCGTCACTCCTTCGATCCTTTTGAAAACGGAAGCTAGAAAGCTAAAGGTCGCAATGTAAACGACTAGATCTTAGCATTTCAAATAGAAAATCTAAAACGCTGTGATCACGGAAGCTGTTGAGCATAGACAATGTGTTCCTTTGTCAGATCAGTATGTGATTTCTTGAAGCACGTGTTACCAATTTTTAACGAAAACGCTGAAAATGAAGAAGAGCAGAAAATCAACTTTTGGATTCAGAATGGATAAATCCACGCATGGTTATTTTTATAGACAACTTGTCAAGCTACTATCAGCGAAAGGACCGTCAGGATAACATCGCGGCTGGAAGCAAGATATAGATAACTCTGTACCTTTCACGCCGTACAAACGAAAAAATGGCATCGAAACGGAAATGTATTACCTATAAGTAGTTGACTACTATTCATTTTGCACATCCCGTGGGATTGAGTTGTTTCTATGAACATGCCTATACATATCGTTGATTTTCAAATAATTGGTTAGGTATAGTAGGAAAGACTTCTGTAAAGGAAGTACAAACAACTGCAAAGAAGTTAGTGTATGACCGATATTAAATATGCGTTTGTCACCAATTTGCATCGTCACAGGGTAGGTTCTGGAGTGGTCCCGCAGGGCCCCTATTGGCGGATGAGGCGGAATACCTTAACGGCGGGAAAGAGCACGAGTTGCTGGATCCCTAAAGGGCGGGTACCCAGGTGGCTAATAGGGAAATGCCCATTAGAGACGATGCGTATTGGGAGACATGGTTTACGTTGAAACTTCCGGCGCGGACTCAAACCAAGCTAGTTTCGTGACTCTGCTAAGTAACGGTCTTAAAGGTATTCAGAGCTGCGGCAGCAGCCCACTATGATGGATGTTGCCGAGAAAAAATGGACACCCTGAAATAATGCCAAAGCAGTTTCAAGGCTTAATCTTCTAAGCTAGGGAACAAAAAAACAAAAAATGTGCTAGAGCCTTATCGAGCATTCAATAATATAGAAGTTAGCTCTGTCTTTTTCGTCATTTTAGAAAGCCGTCTCGGGGTATCGCCCCGTAAGCTATCGTTCTAATGTAGAGTTATCAAGTAGCTCGACAACGAACTGTTCAGGGATTGTTCACTTGTTTTAAGCTCCGACGAGCTCCGCGACCCCTCTCCATTTTGAGTTCGACTTTGCTAGTTTGAAATAGGCACTGGCAGGTTCGCTGTTCACCATTAGAAGCAGGCCTTTGCGCTCACTTGTCGACTGGCTAAGGGGCTGGAAGCAGTCACCGGTAACAAGCCTCGCAAAGTCGCCTTGCTTTTTCGACTTCGTCTCTTCTTGTCGATGGTACCTGTGCCGGGAGCTGAAGCCGCTGCGTTGTGTTCCATTCGTTGGAGCTGCTTCGGTGGTCTGCAAAGTTGAACCGGTTCACCTTCAACTGAAATTTTTCTTTGGTCGCTTCTCGATGCCACTCATTAAGGTCACCGAACGCCAAAAACTGGGATAGTCAGGAAGAAACTTGTGCTTCTCTCGTCAATTTGTCTTCTCTTTGTCGTTTCGTTGTTGCTATATCCTGCGGCAGAGCGTATAGCGACAGAGAGGTAGTCAAGCGAACTGCAGGCGGACCCGACGTCACCGTAACGCCATCCCCAATCCCGTCATCTACCTACTTTGCGCAGCCCTGCAAGGCCTGAACTTGTGATGACCGTGTGCCGAACGTCATCTGTCTCCTGGAAGCTCACGTCCTCGGACGTGCTCCGGTCGCTGTTGCCTCAGTGTTTGGTTTGGGCGAGGACGATATTATGGCTCAAAGTCTTCTACTGTTCCACCGTGGCGTCAACCCAACGCCTGGACGCTTTCTGTCTTTTGCCCTTCGTCCTGTATGTCTCTGTTTCTCTTACATTTCGTAGCCCTCCATGCTATTGCTTGGTTTACCCTCCGCCCCGGTTTGACTGATCCTGGCGCCAGCGTATCTTGCTCGAGCACTAGCTGGGTTAGCGAAACCTTGCCACTCCATCGGCCTTTGTCCTGTAGGGACAAGCAGCTAGTCGAAGTGGGGTCAAGTGACTTAAACCAGCTGCACTATCTCAACTAAAGGAGCTTCCACTTTGGATGTCATTCTACAATTACTATTCCTTTCTGTGTTGGCAAACGGGCACGCTCGGTCAGAACAACAATGCAGTCAATCCGGTGCAACCAGACGCAAGTCAACACCGAGAAAGTGGCCTGTTGGAGGGAATCAGGAAAATCCTGCGTAGAGTAAGCGGGCAAATCAAAGTTGTACCGGGTGTCTTTCTGTAAACGACGACGACGATGCCGACGCCGACGTTTCAAGTAGCTTTTTGCGCCTTTGGGGTCACGCTCGATCGATAAGTCCTCAGGTAGTCAAGCTTGGTCAATTCCTACCAGCTGAAATCTACCCCTTCGGCCACACTATATATTGTTAGCCTCTCTACAACCTCTGCTATTATATATAGTATTGGTTTACACAAAAGGCTTCTAACTTTAACTATTCGTTTGCACGTTATCCTTGAAGTACGCAACATCAATTTTGTTTCTGAACTGCGAATAACTAAAGACTACAAAAACGACAGAGCTTATCGGTGACTAATAAATATTTTTTTTAGAAATTTTTTGACTTTCGGAGAATCACATTAAGGTAACCAAACGGATTTCCTATTTTTAAAATAGTCATCTTCAAATACGATAAGGGTAATAATAGAATTTTTGCTCTAGACGAACGCATAACAGTTCTATAAAAATGTTAAATTGCGTTTGTGGCAGTAGTACGTATATTGTCTCTACCATGCATTGCTAAACATACGTCAACAATGTAAATGGGATTTACTATACCGACGAACAGCTGCCATGGGGGTGTAGCAGATATCGCCAAAAATACCTTAATACTATATTATTACAGACGTGATCCACAACATTGAACTAATCCATGTCTGGTACATCGATTTCAACCTGCGATAAATAAACACCATCTGAGAAATTTAGGTCACTGTTGCAAAATTAGGATCTCAGTGCAACTGCCTTTTGGCGGGGGCACAGATTTTATTTTTTAGGTAGACTGGATTGCGTATGTCTGAACGCCCAACTCTTCATTCAATCAGCATCGCTAGGTAGCACGATGGCGCCAATTGTTGCACTTGGTAAAAAAATTTAAGCCTTCGAGTTACCTAACACGTTTTCAGTTACTCCATTACTGGCTGCTGCTGCCGCCGTGCGGATTCTCCATGAGTGCCTAGGAGATCGGGCGTTCTGAGCTTCTCTAACATGTGCGTGTACCGGAAGCTTAAGATGCCTACCGAGCTATATGTCTTACCGTTGTAAACACTAGTAGCCTCCTGTGAAAAGGCCCCATCAACAGAATCTTCCAACTTGAGCCCCCGATTAAACGGCATTTTCTCTCGATTCTTGTGAACCGTATTTCGTTGACATCAGCAACTTAGTTGTTACAAGGATAAGTTTGGAATGAATGACATAAATTGCCCTGGGTAAAAAAGAAAATATCGCACTAATATAATCTGTTAGTACGTAGATTGTATTTCGAGTACGAGAGATCCAGACGGTCGAACCCTACTAGTTAGTTCTTTCTGCCTAGCTGCTAATTTTCAACGATAGTCAGCCGACAACAATCGAATCTCGCGGAACGTTCGCTGTCTGATAGTTAACTTCGGGCACGCTCCTGAACACCTCAAACAAGGTAAATGGGAAAAGAAGAGGGGGCAGCCATCGATGATAAGGTTGCCAAATCTCAAAGAGAAGGTGTTTCTTTTTCCGTGCTACCGAAGCGAACAAGGTAAAACACTAGTGAGCAAGGCCGAGTTCGTTTGGACCTATTCAGTGTGAGAGGAGTGCTGCTGCGGTCAATGGCGGAACAATATTGGATAACTGGCTTTTCATACAGAACGATACAGCAGTATTCGTGATTTAGCAGCCTAAGCGTTAAATTCAGAAAAAGAAGATATATTAGCTAGCATTTGATAGTAAATATTTGACGCTTTCATAATATATATATATATATATATGGTTACCAGATCTCTACCGAATAGGTAGTCAACTATCTAATTTTGTAAACTATATTAGGACAAGATATTCCCTGCTTTTTTTCAATGTAAACGAATCCTACATTTGTATAGCGCATTGAATAGGCTGTCATAACCGGTGTACTGATCGGAACTTTCAAAAAGCCACTTTGTCTGCTTCGTAAAGACATTTTCAGAGAGCCGAGAGGGGAACAGAGAGAGGCACGTTATGGACGCGCTATGGCTTGCTTGCATTTCCTGAGATTTCCTGAATTTCTTCCTGCATTTCAAGGCGATCATAAATTCCGTCTCGAGCAACATAGCGTAAGCTTACATCGAGCTTGAAAGAGCTAATAAGAAGTTTGTTTGAAAGGCAAACGGCGCAAGTTTTGCCGCTGAACTTACCCCCCATTCGGGTTTTCTTTACTAAAGTTCAACCACCCACACATTTCTTTTTCCAAAGGCATCGAATAAGGCTATGCAAAACGTTAAATAAGATAATTTTATAAAAACTTCTATAACAAGATAAATAACGATAGTAAAATGCAACGGAATAATGTGTGTACATGTTGCATATACGAACCAGTGCATGTGTATGACAAGGCGGATTCAGCG